TCAAGTGGCCAATCCAAACTTGCTTAATGGCTGCATTCGGTTCAAATATAGCAGTTGTAAGTTAACTGTAATTAAATATGATTTCGTTCATGGAATTTCAGTTTGAGATGTATTTCTATTTGTGCATTATTTTTAACACCTCTTCTTGGCTGATACAGATGAGAAACATAGTTTTACCGATCAGAACTGGAAATAAAAATTTATGAAAACGTAATATGAAAAATTCCCCTTAACTCCTGAGTCAGATGTTTTTATCTCTCGATAGGAAATCTGATTGTTTTTCAAAGGCAAAAATTCAAGCAAACAGTGAAAGAATGACAAAGATTATTAGTTTGAATCAAATAGGCAACACCTATGTATACTTATTGAATGGCAGCATTTGGTTCAATTATGACGGCTGTAAATTAATTGTATTCAAAAATAATTTCGCTCATGGAATTTCTGTGAGATGAACACAATATGCGTGTTGTTTGAATCTATTTGGTAACTATACAATATTCTTAAAATGGAATTATATAGTCAATTTCTGATCTTTTTTTATTGACAAAAATTAAAAATACATTTATATCGGATCATGACTGGAATTAAAAATTAATCAAAACATAGCAAAGTAAAAACTTGAATATAGATAAGGCTGAAACTATTATTTAATACAAATCAAAGGGTTCAATTTTAATAATGCCTTTAATAAAGGTATCTATATTTAAGGCAATAATAAAATTGATTCTCTGATAATTTGTTAATATTCTAATTGAGAATAAAATAGTTGATAGTTATCAAATATGATATTTATAGAGGAACACTTTTGAGGAAAAAAGAATTATATCACCAATTTCCAAACTTTTTGTTGATACAGATGAGGGATGCAGTTCTGACAATCAAGATTGGAATAAAAAAATAATCAGAATGTAGAAGAGTGGAAACACAGCTGATGTCAAAAATATTATTGAATACATGTCAAGTACGAGTACAATAAAGTCTTTCTTAAAAATTACCCCTGCGACTTGTTATTGCTCTACTGACAGATAAAAATTGATGAAAATTATCAAAAATTGAATCTAAAAATATTTCTGAAATTTAAAATAATTTCAATTTTTTTTAAGATTAAAATGTTTTAAGATTTAGAAGGAAATAAAAATGTATCATTGAAGTTAAAAAGTTTTTATTTTTCAGAATTTTAATTTGCAGTCTGTAATGATCGAGAAAAAGCATTTGATCATAATCCATTCATTTTTCTTTGTAATTTACAGATCAATGAAATTTCGCTAAAACAGAGCATCATAAATCACCAATTAAATATTGGAATGCATCATAACTGAAAGACAGACGATTTTTTGTTAAATTATTTACTCTCACATTTAATTAATTGTGAAGTGACATTTCTTAGCTTATGATGGAATGAATTTAAACTACTTCTCTTCTTTTCAGAAATCTTAAATTTTTTGCGATGATTCTATTTATATTGTAATAAAAAGATGTTTGAATGAATCAATTTCATTATAATTTTTCATATTTTAGTTTTTTTTCAATCATGTTTGTGAGTTTTAGATTAATATATCTCGATAGGTATTTCACCATACTTCACACCTAATGCCTTTCGTTTAGTTTCATAATTGAAACCTAATTTCTACTTTAATTCTTAGTTTTTTTATGTTTCATTTATTTTCAAAACAAAACATAAACAGCCGGACCTTATTAACACCCGGTTCAGAAAAAAGCATGTCTACTTTACGAGTGGTTCTACAATGGTTCTCTCTTTAAGCAATTACTTGTCATAATTTCTATTTTTCGTTTTATGAAATTCAAATTGATCTTTTGTTTATTAGATGTCGCGACTTCGTGCTATTAACAGACATTAACACGCTTTTTTTCTTCTATTTTACGTATTTGAATCACTATTTCTCGGAAAATGAAATGTTCGAGTTTTTATTATTTTTTATGAAATTATTTTCAAGATCTTCTCATGGTCAGTAGGATTAGCTGTACGTTCAACCATTTTGTATTCGTCAAATTGTAAGAGTCCTGAAGATTTTTCCTTGAGTAAGAGATTTCCATAATTAAAAAAAAATAACGTCAAAAACATGTAACCAATAACAAATGGTTTATACGATGAAGGAAATCTCAATGTTATCGAATGAATTTGAAAAAAAAGGAAAAGACTGGCAAAAATTGCCAGAAATTTTAATCTATCTGAGTCAACTCTACTTGGACAGATTATTAAATGACGAGTTTGTTAATAAAAGTGAGAAAGAGTGTCCTGAAAAAGACCAAAGAGAGTTGGAAACACCAATCTTGACGAATGTCTGATTGAATTTTTTATTTCTCGCTTAATTTCCATTTATACAGTAACTCGTGGTTTACTTAACCTGCGATTTAGTAATCAAAAATCTCGACTTCCTCGAGTTAATGGGTTCAGACGGTATGATGAATATTTACTTAAAAAAGGAAAGAAAATTCTTTTCGAGTTTTTTTTTTTATTTTTATTTTATTTTTATTTTCCTTAAATTATAGTAGTCTGAATAAATTTTGAAAAGTTTGATTTTTAAATATAAAATCAGGTGGTTAAATTTGCAATGTTTTCTTTGCTGTACTCTGTTTGAATTCTGACTCTGTCTGTCAAATTTTGAAATTAGTTTTATTTGCTTAAATATCAAAAACAATTTAGAGAACTTTCACTTTCAATTGACTAATTTTAATCAAAGGATACATATGTAATGCAAGTGACGATATTTTTTAAATCAAATATTTGTATCAAACAGCCTTTGTTACGAATTTTAGGGTTCGTAAGTTTCTTTACCTAAGTGTTATGTAGTGATACCAATTTTTGTTGTTAAGAAATACTGAGGCTCCCGTCTACCAACCATTTGTATTTCCAGACAATTCAGTTAATCCTGAGGAATTTCTATTTTCCTCCTCAAATCTTGACTATTTCACCTATTTGAATGCAATAAAGTGCATCCGAAAAAGCAAAAAGTAATGATGGGTTCTGAGGAATGTCTTTCCCCCTCTGATAGTTAAAAATATTTTATGCTTATTTTAAAGATTTTCTTGTGAGTTTTCTGATCTTTAAAAAACATTTTATCCATATCCATAGGACTAATAGAACGTTCAGGAAATCAAAATTGATGCTGACTTTTTTTTATTATTGTTATGATTGATTGTCTATCATCGTTACTATGAGAAGCAACTCGAGGGCTATTGGCTACAGATCTCGTAATTTTGAACTTCGGTCAAGTGTTAAGGACGATACCTGACAGGCACTTTCCTCTCCAAATTTCCATACGAAGCCAACGGGAGTACTTGGAGTCTCGACAGATATAGTGTGCATCAACCCCGTTAAACTGTAGGTCTTCATGGTATTAGGATTAAAAAGCTTGATTAAAGTAAGCCGGCCTCGAAGTCGTAGACATGACCTCTAGGCTATCACGGCCACGAAATCGGGATATATTCTCTGGTAGAAAAAACTTGTTTTCTATGTACATTCATAACATTATAATACATAATTAAATTAATAATTTCACACTGAATCCTTAAAATTTAGAGAGACTTTATGAGTACATAATTTTTCTTTTTCAAATGGAAATATGTAAATGACAATGTAGAACTATTAGATTGGAAGCAAAATACTAGAAAAAATAGATTGAATCACACAAAATTAAAAAACACATTAAATCAGGCTTCTGTATATGTAACTCAGAAAATAATGTTAATACTGTAATATTTTATCATTTAAAATTTGTTCTGTATGTGATTCTACTTCCTTTATTATTGGATGTAGATACTCATTGTACTCTTTAATTTACGAATATTTCAAGACAGTTTAGAAGAATACCATCATCTATAGATATCAGCTGATAATAGCTTTATTCAACTATTACAAATAACAATCAATATCTATATTTAGTTATCTAAGACTTTTTATTTAATTCGATATGAAAAGCAAGCAATGAAAGATTGCCTTGTTTCTAGAGAAAACGTGAACTAGTTTTCAGATCCAATAAGGAAATTATATTGCGAATAATTAAAAAGTGTTTGATAGTAAATTTGTTGCTGATTCTTTTTACTTGAAGGGAAAATCCGTGTTTAATGTAGCATCTGGTTTGCTTATCTTCTTCTTTGACCTGTCTGTCGGTTGATTTATTGGTTATTTATTAAAGTCGCTCTTAAAAGCAACACGAGGGCGATTGGAGACGGTCCTCTTTAATTTGAACCATGGTCCAGGGAAGAAGGTTAACTCTCGCTCCACTCTTCAAACTTCGTCGCCACACCAACGCGAGGACTCTAAACCTCGACAAATTGAACGAGGATCAACCCTCTACACGAAAGATCTTTAGTAGCATCAGGAAACAATATGTCCGTTGGAGAAACGAAAAAAAACGTGGTAGTCCTGTAGTAGGGCGAGTTTTGAGGCTAGTAATGTTTGAATCATACCAAAGTAAGGATCCTGATTTCCCAATTACTACCGCGAAAAGTAATGAGTTTTGAGGCTAGTAATGTTTGAATCATACCAAGGTAAGGATCCTGATTTCCCAATTACTACCGCGAAAAGTAATGAGTTTTGAGTTCTGCACATTTGAGAGTTCTCAGACATTTGGTGTGGTTGCCTTTTTAAGTCGTTTTATTTCAATAGATTCTAATTACCTTTATTATTTTGAGGAATTGGAAGAAATTTTTTGAAAGAGTGAATGTGAAGCGGTAATCTTTCTTTTCAAAATACAGCTGCATCTAGCACTATATGTGATTGTTTGTTAACCTCGCACCAAGAAGCTCGATTGATTTCATTAACTTCGCACTAGAAGCAATATGAGGGCAATTGGCGACGAACCTCGATCAAGTGACGAGAACGACATTTATAATTGCGTGGGGATTATTGATCTCATAATTATGAATCTCGGTCAAATGACGAGGACGAAACCTGAGCTGGCTCCTCTTTTTCCTAACTTCCACACCACGTCATGGGAAATCTCGGGACCTCGACCATATTTAAAATGCACCAGTCCTGCTGCACGGCAGGGCTTGAACCTTCGACTCGACGGAAATAACGACGAGTCTGTGACCATGACCACTAGGCTACCGAGCGCATCTAGCACTGATATAGCATTTTTAAAGTAATTGAGGCATTAATATTTTTGATATTTTGCATTTCTTTCTTTTACTGTAAAAAATTAGAAGAATCTTCTCTCTCTCTCCTCGCTGATTCCGTAGATGTATTATTTATAAGAATTTTAAAAGCATCTTGCTCGTGAAAATTAAATTGTAAAGTTGTAAAAAAACGTTGCACATAGTAGAGAAAAATATTTGCATTTGAGTTTTTCTTAACATGTGTTTTTCTAGGATTCTGGAATAGTTTTCTCGAAATGAACTTGATCCATAGTGCCTATATTTTGCACATAAAGAAATCAGGATTTTTTTTCCTTATATAGTGAACATAACTTTTTTCTCTAATAAATACTCAACAATTTTGAGTATCATAGAGTATTTGCATAAAAATCATGGGAAATTTGAATCATTAAAAATTAAATGTTTTTGAATTTTTATTAAATTAAATTTTTAAAATTATAATTATGTTCAGTTTATAAAATGTTATAGCCCAAGATTCATTTAGAACAACGTTCTACTTAAAGAAAGCCTCAAATATAAACAGTAAGCTCAAACTACATGAATTCAATGCAATAATATTAGCAGCCCTTCCTTACGAAAGTGAGGTTTGGAGACTCACTAAATCACAAGAACTAGAAATTAAATGCCTTTTAAGCTACGTACCTCAAAAAGATTCTTAAAATATACTGGCAAGGTAAAATTTCAAATTTTGTATTATACAACAAAGCATCAATCAAACCTATTTGGCCTAAATTTAAAAAAAAAAAAATGACGTTATATTTTCTATGTACTTAGAATGCCATCAAATAACGCAACAGTTGCTCTGAAATCAGTATAAAATGGAAAGAGAAAGAGAGGAAGAATAAGGGGCACGTAGAGCCGTATGGCCAGAGAAAAGAGGAATTCGTTTGGATGGCTGAATTGTGGCAGTGCTTGGGGGAGGGAGCGTTGGACCGGGTTGAATGACGTGCAACTGTTGTGGACTCATGCACATTTGTTGTGACAAGAACTGATGATGATAGAATGATATGTTTATAAGTATTCTGTAAAATTTCAAAATTATAAAAGCGGTAGATTTAGTGCAAGATGTACCTAAATTTAAGTTTAAGACTTACCTTTAAGTCTTATTATTATTTGCTCACACATAATTATTTCTGCTTGAAAATTTGATTATATTTGCATAAATAGATACATTAACATACAGATATCTCAATATTAAATCGTGACCTTCAATTGATTTTAGTTTTATAAATGTTCGGCTTATTTTAATTTGACATAAAATAAGACCATTTTTTTTTTTTTTGCATGCGTCTCAGTTAAACTTTGATTCTTTACTCTCTATAATACGCATTAAATATTCATGGTGAATGTATACTACAGTCGAACTCCGTTGACTCATGGAAGTAGGAGTCTTTGGTTCCTAAACCGCGAGTTAAGAAAACCGCGAATTGTAGTATTAATACGAATTGAGCTATAATATATGAATTGATATGAATTTTCTTCAATACGTTTTCAGTCTTTCGACATTTTAAATAAAAAGGGAAATCACTTACTCAAGAATTTTTTTTATAATTCCTATAAAATTTGACCATTAAAAAACGGTTGAACGTACAATTATTTTCTCCAACACCACGGGATTTGAAATTAATCTTTACAAAAAATTCTTTTTTCCGAGAAATGAAGATTTATGTCTAATGCAAACATTCAAATAAAAAAAACCCCATAAATAAAAAGGATTATGGTCAACCTTCTCTTAGCTCTAAACGTTTGAAGGGCGCATCTCAAAGAAAACATTTTGTTCCGCTCCGCTTAGTCGGATTTTTATTTTCTCGAAGTCTCTGTCTATACTTTACGATCAAGGAACTTATGGGTTCTTGTTTCTTAAAAGGTTTTGTTTTTAGGTGCTCAAGCACCATTTTACATTTCTTTCTCGTGTTTCTAATTTTTCTCGTTCGATATATTAGTTTGCTAATGCAAATCAGAATGACACGTATATCTCCTGATATATAAATTGGAAAGAAAGGAAAAGTATATTAATTTCTTTGCTTAACCAGGAAGTCCAGACATCATCTGCTAAAAGGTAAATTCGAATCTCATGAAAAGGGAGCCATGGTAAAAACGCGAGTTATGGAGTCCGACTGTATTTTTAAATTATTTCTAGTGAAATCATCATTTGAAGATATTTCACAGGAGATAATTATTAATTAGAGAGCTAGTACCATTTAAATTTGTTATAGAACAACAGTTATTTTTATTTGATTTAATAATTATGTAGTTTTCACTTTTCAGAGTACGTCAAGATATGTATTTTAAGGTTAATGAGACGAACATTCTATGTACTGTACAATGAACATAAATATAATTTCAAAGTTACATTTTATAAAATTTTAAACTTTATAATTTTTATTTCAAATTTCTCGTAATGTTTTACTAATATTGCGCAATACTTAAAATTATTGAGTGTTTTTATTATAGAAAAACATTATGTTCACTCCGTAGGAAATAACTCCCATTTCATAACGTGCAAAACGTCAGCTCTACGGATATAAAGTAGATTTTGAAGAAAGCGTACCAGGATATCCTAAAAACCCACATTTTGAGAAAAATGCACACACTCTTCTCTATCGCGTGGCACGTGTTTTGAAAATTTTAAAATTCAATTTCTTTCGAACGTTCTATTCATCGAATTCTCATAAATAATACATCTATAGAATCAGCGAATCGCCTTCTAATTAATAATGGTAAAATAAAAAAAAATGCAAAATTAGAAGCTTTTTAGGATCTCACCTACCTCAACACTGAAGAACATTTACATCTAAATATCACTTATTAAAGGCTTAGTTCCTTTCATTTAAATTCAAAAATAAGTGTAATCTCCTCTACAAACATGTCACACTACCGTGGGATCGCATTACAACAAATAAAATTAGAGTAAGGCGTATGGAAATGAGTTCTTTTGTTCCATACGAAATCATTTTGCAAGAGGAGAACCGACAAATGACCCGAAGATGATTCATGTTTGAATTCTGAAGGTGGAAAGGGTGCAGGGCTTTGTTCTTCTAAGTCTGACTTGTGAAATCTTGTGTAATTTTGTCACTTTCTCTCGCTGCTGTTAGTTAACAAACAGAACAGGTGTGTATTATGTTCTGGAAGGGTCTATTATGTCTTCTCGTGTTCTTTTAACTATGTCGACAAAATTAAATGAAGTTTATGGGTTAACCAGTTTCCGAAATTGTCTGGTTTTGTATAGATTACTCAAGAAGTCACAGAGATGAAACTATTCTGTTCCAAGAATATTGAAAAAAAAAAAGAATTTTAAAAAATGATGCATAAAGCCTCGATTACACGATAAGAACAATATTTGATGTGGTATAGATCGACCACGTGGATAAAAAATTCTGATTCTTTATTTAATGCTCTCATTTCACCTCAGGGAAAGACAGAGTAATAAGGAGGGAGAGGGAGTGCGCTAAACAGACAATGTGGCAACTACTAAGCTAGCCACAATTCCCAAACTTTTTCCATTCGCGTACTCTAGCTTCCACGGTTTCTTTGGTTCATCTCATCTATCCTTCCATCTTATAGTTTCTTTTTTACTTTCAAAGTAAGCGAACAAATTAACACAAAAATTAGAAAAAATAGTAATTAACTAGAGATTTGGCACTGAACTGAATCACAAAATTATGAGAAATTGTTACAAGAGGATAAATACATTCTCGAATCCGGATTTGCTTTTAGTTTGCTTCAGTATTTATTTTTAAAGTAAGTATACGAAGAAAACTTCCTTTCTACAAACTCCGCACTACAATAAGGCAGCAAAACACATTATGGATTTTCTATGAAGCTCACTGCATTCGGCTCCACGACGATCCCCAGAACATTTTACATTCACCATTCCGCAATTCAAGTAGTCATGGTCACGGACTCGAGGGTGGCGGTTTTCGTCGTGAGTTCGAGCCCTGATGCCATTAAAGACCGGGGCTGTGCACGTTAAATCTGTCTTGGCTCAATGTCCTCCCATTAACGTGGTGTGAAAGTTTGAAGAGGGAAGTGCAGCTCAGATGTTGTCCTCATAATTTGATCGAGGATCAAAATTATGAGGTCTGTCGCCAATTGCCCTCGTGTTGCTTTTCAATGCGACCTGAACAAGACAAACACAATCTGCCATTGATAAAGTTCTTCACAGTGGTATGTGATGTGAGCTTCAGCGAATTTTTCCTTTTCAGGAATCGATAACACATCGGTTATTTTAAATTCATATAATTCTTTTTAGTTGATCCGGTGCGGCTGCCCTTACCGTTATTTTTTCGCTCATATCCTGATGCCTCTAACTTACCCAATGGACAGAGCACGTTAGAGCCTAGGGAGTAGGCAGGGCAGATGACTATCTACGGCGCCAAAATCTAGTATCGCAAAACACACGCGAGCGTGCAACCAGCAAATATCCCGCTTTATTCGAATATGAATCCCCATTTGAAAATCGAAATTCAAATCAATTGTTTCTCGCAAAACGCAGTCACACGATTTAAAAACTAAGAAAACAAATCTGGAGAGACTGCCTGGTATTACGGAATCCTTTTTTTTCCTTTCTTTTTCTACGCACCCTCAGATTGTTAAAAATTATAAGTTCTTTTCCAAAACAGATTATAGAAACTAGTAAAATATTCATGAAGAAGAAATATTTTTCCAGTTTCTAAGAAAGAAAGAATCTAGAAAGCATGAAGATTCAAAAACTCGCACAGATAATTTGAAAAATTTTTAGAAGCTCAAAGGATAGTACTTTTTGGATTTGCCAACGTTGGACGGCAGGACCATCATTGCCCTAGATTACGTGTAACCCCGGTTGGGAATCTCTGTTATTCCATTCCTCCACCTCTATTACGTTATTAAGCCCGATACGTTATTCCATGCTTACTCAAAATGGATTGTACCGGAAGCCGGATGTCAAGTGACAAGAATATACTAGAAGCTTTTCTTGA